TCTAACTGGGCCAGTACCAGCACCCATGGGTGATGCTGTTGCTCTGGCAGCCCACAGTCAAATTATTGTCCATTCCCATTCAAACTCCCTCATATCACAGGCAGTTTTATTCTCTCTCTCTCTCTCTCTCTCTCTCTCTCTCTCTCTCTCTTCTCTTATGTCTATCATCTATCTACCTATCTATCATCTATCTACCTATCTATATTTATCAATCATTTATCTATCTATCAGTCATCTGTTAAATATCTACCTATCTATCATCTATCTTTTATCGCATAGTATATTTCAGTAGAGTCGCAATAACCTAGGCTGACTTCAAACTTGCTATGTAATTGAGGAAGGCCTTGAACTTTTGATCTTATTGCCTCCACTTCCCAAGGGTAAGGATTACAGGCATGTGTTATCACACATGGCTTATGTGGTGCTGGGTATTGCCAGGGCTTTGTGAATGCTAGTCAAGAACTCTATCAACCAAATTACATCCTCATCCAGTCTATGTACTTTACATGCTACCCCCCCATTTTTTAAAAGAAGTAATATATGACTGTATGTTGCATAATACGTGTATGCCCTTGAACGCCAGCCTTTCCTGAATGCTGACAGCAGGTTCATTTAGTATTCATTTTTGTCTATTGAAGATTAGAAGGATGATTATATGCTTCATCTAAATGCCATCTCTTCTTTAGCCCACACTCTTGACTACTGGTATACCTTTTTTACTTGGTACAAGCTTTAAGCTTCAGCCTCTCTCCTTGGCCAGCTCCCAGACTGTTTTATGAATATTAGCAGGTCACTGGGTGGCTAAGAATTTCATATAAATGGTTCATATCTAGCATTGGAAAATCTGAAAGTTTCATGGAGAAAATTGAGAACTATTTGCTTTGCTCTGCTGATTCCCCTCACTCACAAGATAAATACAACATTAATTCGGTGGCTTAAATGAAATAATCCATTAGGTGAGGCTGTTTTATTATTTGTAGTTTAAAATTACTAGGTTTTTAGCCATGCCACTGTGAACATACTATATTATGTATCATAATTGTGCATGACTTTATTTATGAGATAAATAAATGAATGGAAAAAAATTACTCAGTTTGCAGGCAACACTAACTTAAGGAACTACCAGCTATGCATCTCTACAATGCAAGCCCTTTGATGTGACCATGAAACATTCTTTTTACAGTCTATGGAAATATACTTTTCAACAACACAGGAATAATGTAAGCTGAATGCAAAATTATATCTGTTATCATTTTGCCATGCAAAAATATGAACTTGGACACTAACTGAAAGAAAAACAGAAGCCTGACTTCTTGAAAAGTAACTTTGTTAAAGTATTCTTAATCTTAGATTAATTTCCTCTGACACCATAAAGCATTTATGCAGTTTACTTATAAGTTCTGGATATAGACTTCTAAAATTATGATACAGAGAGAAAACTCTGAGCATCAGTATCGTTTAATGTGCCCTTGGGGAAGGCTCTCCTTCTGCTATATGCTAAGTGCTGTGGCTTTTTCCTAGCAAACCAATAATCTTTTCCATACAACAGGCTCTCTAGACTACCTGCAGAAGCACCAAGAGCTGAGGGTCATGTAGTTAAATGTTATCGGGGGCCAGTGAGCCCTTTCAGAATGCTGGTCATCTCTTCTGTGACTACATGGTGTAATGAGTCTTTCTCTGTCCCACGAGGCAGCTCCCAAACAATGACATGGAGACTTACTATTACTTATGAAAGCTTGGCAGTAGCTTAGGCTTGTTTTTAGCTAGCCCTTATGACTTAAATCAGCTCATTTATATTAATCTATGTTCTGCCATGCAGTATTACCTCCTGTTTCCTCCGTGTCTGGCTGGAGACTCCACCTTTCTTTTTCTCAGAGTCCTTTCTTCCCTGGAAGTCCAGTCTAGTCTCTTCTTGCCTAGCTATTGGTTACTCAGCTCTTTATTAAACCAATCAGAAGGTGCCTTGGCAAAGAAACAATTTCATAGTGTAAACAAATATTCTGCAGCAATGTGGTCCACGTGTTCCTTTGCACACTGATGCTCAGGGACGTCTCCCCATGGCACAGGAGGTGGTGCCGTGGCTGTGGGATGTGGAAGGAGATGTTGCCCCACAGTGTGCCCTTGTGTAGAGTGGGATGGCACCCGGTATAGAATGGTGAGAACTGCAATGATGTCTGTAGAGTGGAGCGGTTAGGACATGGAATCACAGGTCCTGCCCATTCTGTGAGGACAACTTTGAATGTATGATCTATGTCCCCAAGAGTCAGTTTCATCATGGGAAACATGAGTACTCAAAGTCTGTTTTGTGAGCTAATGATTAAGCAGAGAGGACCATGCATACATGAGCTAGGAGTAAGATATAACAGTCACACTACTCCTCACACACTTTCTTCATGCATGTCACTGAACCCTAAAGTCCTAACTTTAACTGAGATGCACCATGGAAAGCATCCAAAGAGCATTGCTGGCTGTGATTCTGGAGTAGTTGATTTCTGCCTCTTAAAATAGTTAATCTTTACTGGCCACTTGATTAAAGAATCACCAGGAAGATACATCTTTGGAAGTGCCTATGAGAATGTTTCCAGAAATATTTAATTGAACTGGGGTTCCATGCCAAATGTGGGCCACATCATTCCCTGGCCAGGAGTCCTGGACTGAAAAAAAGGAGAAAGTGAGTTAAGCACCAGTGTTCACCTCTCGGCTTCTTGACAGTAAATGCAGCAATGGCCAGCTTCCTCACACTCCTCCTGCCATGCCTTCTCCACCATGACGACTGTATTCTCTAAAACTGTAACCTAACTTTTCTTAAATTGCTTCTTGTCAGACATTTTATCACAGTAATAAAGCAAGTGAGTGGTAAGCCTTTTAAGAGTAGAATTTAAGTGGAGTTCTACTTGGGTGCTTAGTCAATGAGGCTGGATACCCTAAAAGTCTGGGACTAAATAGGATCTCCTAGGTTATACCTGGTCCCAGTCTGGTGCTAAAGACCTAGAAGGTTCACAACCTTGAAAAATGCATGTTTTTACTCAAGATGAGCATAGCTTCCATGAAAACAAGGCTACATCTACTGTCTAACACTAGAAGCATTGGCAGCTTCAGGGATCTTGGAAGCCTTTTCCTCTTAGCTAGAGCAATTTCTGTAGCTTGAGGTATACTGTTAACTACTGATCAGGTTGCTTTCTTTCTTTCTTTCTTTCTTTCTTTTTTTTTTTTTGGTTTTTCAAGACAGGGTTTCTCTGTGGCTTTGGAGGCTGTCCTAGAACTAGCTCTTGTAGACCAGGCTGGTCTTGAACTCACAGAGATCTGCCTGCCTCTGCCTCCCGAGTGCTGGGATTAAAGGCGTGTGCCACCACCGCCCAGCTCTGATCAAGTTTCTTGAGTTAAAAAGTTAAATGAAAATTGGACAACACACAGGTAAGTGGATTTCAAACAGCATTAGCATTTGCAAGCTATCAGAGGTGTTTGTACCACTACGCTGAAAATTTGTACCTCTTTGGTTTGAGGACTGAGATTTCTCTAGTGCCTAACTAGAGCACTGTGTTCTAAGGCCCACTGCCAACCCCACTGTGGGGAAGAAAAGGAGTGGCAGACAGTGTACCATGTCCAAGTGTCATGGTTTTGATTTGAAATGTCCCTGAAGCACATGTCAGGGACTTGTCTCAGTTGTGAGATGATGGGTTTCTGGGAAATGATTCGGTCATGAGGGTTTTGATTTATCAAGGCATGAACTTATTGAGGGATTTGTAATCTGATGGCACATTTGGTAGACCGGTGGGAAAGTGTATCTTGTCCTTTGTTCCTTCCTCTCTCTTTCTGTTTCCTGGCTGCTACAAATGGAGCAACCTCTTTTTATCATGGGTTCTTCCCTATGTTCTGCTTTGCATCAGGTCCAAAGCAATGGAAAAAGCTGACTGTGGACTGAAACCCTGGAAACCCTGAGCCAAAGCAAACCTTTTCTATTTTAAGATGATTTTCCCTGGTGTTTTGTCATAATTGACTAACAGATCAAGTGTTAAATGTTTCTTGGAGGCAGAGAGGGGCTGCTCAGCCAATCTAAGTCTGAGCCAGGCTCAGAACTACCATGGAGGGCTGTTGATTTGGATGGTGAGATGGAGTTTTAATATTGCTCACTCAGGAAAGCCAGTGATCTTTGTTGACTCAGAGAACAACATTCCAGTGGCTCACCAAGAGAATCCTGAGGGGTGATGTCTAGTGTTTTATTAGATCTATCATGTACATGGTCAACTAAGGTCAAACATAAAGTCCATTTATGTGTGACAGTCATTTTACAGATCCATTTATTATTGGAATTACAGTTAACATTGTACCCTAAGGAAAACTGGTTGTTAGTCAAGGACATGCCCTTATTAGGCAGAATTCCAAGGTGTACACAGTGAGAGGACTGTTCTGCCGTGATGCTGTCTTTAGCTAGAAAGAGTTCAATTTGCAATGTTATGAGTTGGGTAATTATCAGAGACAATATTTTATTTTCAAAAGTTAATAGTTACCATACTGTGTGCAAAATCCAAGAAGTTGATTATAAAAGCAGTTAGTGATAAATATCTTTATGTTTTAAGGGCAACATTTGCATTGAGAATCACATCTCTGTTTTGCATTTATAGTAAGTGAATAAATCTGCTATTGCAAATTTTCCAGACAATCGTAGGGAGACCAAGACGAGTTCAGTCGTTAATCACATCGTGAAACTACACACAGCCAAAAAGGAATTAAAACCCAGCAAACCAAAATAACACAACTGGAAAGCATGAAACCTGTCCAGTCAATTATTGGATCCTAGTGGTGTTTGTCTTTCTGACCTCCATTTTCTGTAGGGGTCAGAAGGACAAGTGGAAAGAAACAATGAAAGAAACAGAACTCTATTCTTAGAAAAAAATGTATTAAGAATGGAGAAAGTATATTTTATGTGTTGAAATTGTTTTGAAAATTAAGACAAAATTATCATTCACTTAGTGTAGGAACAGCATTCTGTTATTAAAAAAAGACAAAGAATTGGGTTTTTGACTTAATGAAAGCAAAAATTTTTACTCCTAAGAATATGAGAAATACAACAATAAAATGCTAGGTGCGGCATAATTTATCAAAGTAACATTGGGTAATTGGCTTGTTTTCAAAGAGTGCCTGTCACCAGAGAGCTCCAGCGTGATAGAAACACATTCTTTCTGTTGTTGGGAAGAATCTGCAGTGACACATTTGGGACTTAGAAACACAGAGATAGAGGAGCCCATTGACATCAGAGTTGTGTTGCTGCATCTCTAATTCCTTTGAATCCCAGACGTTTGGGGCTCTAGAGGAATAACCCCAGAAGACCTTTCTGCTTTCATTCTTGATTTCATTTTTTTTGCTTTCATTCCTAATCTTCCTGGTAGGAGCCGCAGGACCACACTGCTCTTTACAGGCTTCAGTGCCTGTAAATATTTTGGTGCAATGTCTGGTACATGGTAAGGACTCAACACAAGCTGTGTGTTACTGCTGCATTTTTCTTGGTCACACTTGGAGTCACCAGTCTGGGTGTGGTGTTGCATTCCTGTAAGTCCAGCACTAGTGAGGATGACCTGGAAGTGTTACAAGTTGGAGTCCAGCTTGGGCTGCATACCGAGACCTTGTTTAATAAAAAGAGAACAAGGATCATTAAGTCTCAAGAGGAGGCAGAGTTCTTCATAGCTGTCCCGTCACCCTATCATTTACAGATATAGGAATGTTGTTGGCATAGGCATGGGGCAGGTAGGTTCAGAACTGGAACCTAGATTCCCCAACTCCAAGGTCTGCAGTGTCTCTTTGTTCTAGACCACAGACCTTTCCCCACTCTGTTTCAACTTGAGGATGTGGGGGTCCTCTGTGGAGAACTCAGCGCTCAGCAGCAAGCCTCACTCCAAGTGCCTGCCACCACTGAGGCCACATGGATGCCTCATGTTACAGATGAGGGCAATTTATGTGCTAAAATCTTTTCAGTTATTACCCACTCTCTAATGGGAGAGATTAAAGCAACTTAAATGAGCTATATTTTATTTAATACCCATCTCACCAGGCATGTTTTTCTAACCATGATTTATTATCCCAGTCCTGACTTACTCTGTGGAGGTAGTGAGATCTCTGGGGCTGCAGTAAGATGGTTAGAATGCTTGTGAGTGGACTTGGAGACGTATTTGGATGTTTCCTGTTTCCATTTACTGAGCCCTGAAAGAAAATCCATGAATTATCTACTCAATAATCACAGCCCCATTAGATGCAGCTTCCCATTTACAAGGAGACACTAATCTTGTTTTCTCCTCCTTTTTTTTTTTTTTTTTGAGGTGATATCTCACACTGTAGAACTCAGTATGTAGCCAAGGATAGTCTTGATCTTGTGACAATCTTCCAGCCTCAGCTTCCCATAAGTGTGAGTGTGTAATCCTGATAAGATGAGGAAGAAGGGGAGGGAGAGTGGGGGAAAGGAAAAGAGAGGATAAGAAGTCGGAAGGAATGTAGGAAGATATGGGGAATCTGGGAGAAGAAAACAAAGAGGGACACAGAGGAAGAGGGAGAGGAATGGAACGAGACAGAGGGGGCAGAGAATGGGAGGTCTCTCTGTGTTAAAGTAATCTTACGTGATACGTGTTTTGTTTCATCTAAACTCAGGGTTCCTCCCAAGAGGCATACTTGGAATAGGAGGCTGTTCATGGGTGTGCTTGGCAGTGGTAGGTTGGTTTTGATTTATTCTGGGTTCCATCACGTTAAGTAATGGTCAGACCTCTAACAGGGAAATGAATTCATTCACAGTTGCCATCTTGGAAAGTGTGTAGAGCTTGGGTTGTCATAAAAACTTGAAGGTGTTTTCTGTGTTGGCTTTTTCTTGCTCCCCTGATTCCATTTCTCATTGTCTGTTTTTAGTTCATTCTTCCTTCACTTTTTCTCACCTCATTTTTAACAGTAAACTTCGATGTTAAAACTCTCTGAATTGTCCCCCAAACAATACAGCAATCACGACTGTCTCGTTGTGGTTACCACAGGTGAAACTACAAACCTCATTTTTATAGAATGACAGAGCTTAGAACTGGAGGGGATTTAAGACCATGGCAGACAGTTTGCCATCTGAACACCCTCTGCGTGAAGTGGAACTGAAATCCTTCCTCTCATGTGGGCAGAATCACAGCCCCAAGGTGCCCGAGAGCTGTAATGTTCCCTTATTTGGAAACGGAGTGTTACGGTAGTGATGAGCTAAAGATGTAGCATTAGGAAGATGGTCCTGGGTTGTCTAGTTGAGCTCTGAATGCAGTCATCTGTTCTGTTCGTATGTGTGTACGTATTTGTAGGTGTACACGTACACATATGTGTGGGGTACATGTGCACACTTGTGAACCAGGATGTAGAGGTGAGAATGTTGATGTCATTCCTCAGGCTCTGTTCACCTCTGATATATATTTTTTTTACAAGTGTGTGTGTGTGTGTGTGTGTGTGTGTGTGTGTGCATGTAAGTAAGTGTGTATGTGGGGACATGCACTATAATAGGCACATGGAAGTCAGAAGAAAATTTCAGGGAGTTGGGTTCTCTCCATCCTAGAAGGATACTCTGTTGCATGGAACTGGGTTGTTAGACTCAGTGGCAAGTGTCTTAACCTGTTGAGCCATTCCCTTCTGACAGACTCTCTCTCACTGGCCTGGAGCTCACAAAGAAAGCTATGCTGGCTGGCCAGCAAACCCCAGGTATCAGCTGTCTTACCTTCTTAGTACTGAACCATATCAGGAAAATTTTCTTTTTCTTTTCCTTTTTTGATCTATTACATCTTTTAAAAATTATTTCTTTTATTTTTAACATTATAATCACATCATTTCCCCTTCCCTTTCCTCTTCCAAGCCCTCCCCTCCTTGCTCTCTTTAAAATCCATGGCCTCTTTTTTCGTTAATTGCTGTTATATGCATGTATACACCTATGTTCCTAAATATAACACGCTCAGTTGGTGTAGTGTAACTTGTATATATGTTTTCTGGCAGTTTTTATGTAGTTTCTAGGGACTGAACTGAGGTCCTCATGTTTACAAGGCAAGTCTTTTACTGACTGAGCCATCTCTACAGCCCCGTGTGCGTTTGTCTAAGAGAGGGGGAGAGAGGGAGTCTCCACATGGAAAGAATAGAAGGTGCCATGGCCACAGCGATGGAGGCAGACCAATATGGAAGGCCATCAAGGGATTCCACCATTCTCCAAAAGCTGAGAGATGCTAGGACTGGCTCTACCGAAGTCCCTGGAAGGGTTGATGCCGGGTCAATGCCTAACCCCAGTTTTTGGCATCTTTTCAGACTTCTTGTCTCCAGCTGTGTGAGAGAAGAAGCAAGTCTGCTACACAGCTCCAGGTGTGTGGGAGTTTGTCACAGCAGCTCTAGGAACTGAGTACACTCTGAAACCGAGTTGTCTTCCTTTAGTTAGTTTAAAGTAGTTTTATATTTTCTGGACACAGGGTCTCTGTAGGAGACATAAATTTAACATATCTTACTTCATTTAGCACCTGTGATGGTTAGCTTTAATGTTAATTTGACACAACCTAGAATTTCTCAGGAAGAGTGTCTCAGTGACGGATTGTTTACCATGGGTGGGTGTGTGGGCATATTTTCGGGGATTATCTTAATAAGTTAACTAATGTGGGAAGACCTTGTCAGCTGTGGGTGGCATTATCCCCTAGGCAGGATCTAGGGGTTCCTGAACTGCATAAGAGTAGAGAACTGCATAAGTGTTCATTCCCTTTCTGCTCTTGACTATGTGTGTATGACCAAGTGTCTCAAGCCCCTGACACTGTGACTTCCCTACAATGATAGACTGGCACCTGGAATTGTGAGATAAAATAAGCCCTTTCTCCCTTAAGTCACTGTTTGTCATGGCATTTTATCACAGCAACAGAAAAGAAACTTGGACAGTGTTTTCCTTTTACCCAATGGTGTCTTTTCATGAACAATTACTCTTGACATAGTGAAATCCAATGTGTTAGACTTTTCATTTCTTGTTGGCCCTATTTAGAATAACTTTAAAAACCTATTCTTAGATCTAAAATCCATGCACAACTGATTTCTATGTGTAGAGTGGAACTTGGGGTCTATGGTTCACTGATCATCTATTTAAAATGTAGTCTTTCCCCTCCTATGCTGTAATTATATCTTTGTTATGAACCAAGTGATTCTGAGAATCATTTGGGGGATGTCTAGGAAGTAGATGCTAAGCTGGAATTCAGGGTACAAGATTCATCGTGGGAAGAAAGGTATACGGAAAAAAGTACAGATAAAGCAGGAGCTGTTATATTTGTTCCCTGTGAACAGAGGAGGCTCTGTGATAGAAGGCGCTCAGACACAGTAGAGCTGAGACGATTGTGGCCAGTTCAGTGAAGAGCTCCGGGGCAAAGACACCAGTTGGGATAGTCCTGAGCTAGAGAAGCAGCCAGACCCCAGATGCCCATTGTGGTGTCCATGGTTGGCACGTTCAGGAAGAGGGTGCCCTGGGCAATGCTGTAGAGACCTTGAAGTTGCCATTACTCAGACTCCTCACGGTAGTCTAGGGAGACCTGAGTGAAAAAGGTAACACTATGGCTTCCATGGTTCAGCCTTACATTGCTTTCTGTACAGCCAAACACCACAGTCCCCACAGGCTTCCCCAGAGGGTGCTCAGGGTGAATGTTGGGAGGCTGAACAAGGATCTTTATTTTGTGACTCTTTGCAATGCTGTGACCTATACTCAAGGTCATTACTCTTCCATTATTCCTTCTTAATTGTCACCTCTGCAGGTATGGGGGGCTTGCCTGGCATTATGACCCAAAACCTTAGTGAGTCTTAGGAGCCACCACATTCCTCCAGCAGGGAATGCTTCAATTAGGAGAAAATAGCTACATGACAGCAATGTAGGTGGTATTTAGCACATAAAACACATTAGCTTTTAGTTGCCATATTCTTCTCAGACCAGGGCTTTTGTGCATATCCACTTATGGTTACATTGAGCAAGATAAGCAAGTGGGAGTCCAGTGAGTCACTCAGTGCACAAAGTGTTCCACTTGCTTTATTGCATAGGACACACTGTCTCATTCTGATGATCAGGCCGATTGGCCAAGAGGCTTCCTCCATTTTTCAAGGGACAGTTCCTTAACTATGGCAGTGGTTATTGGCCAGTGAATCCTATGCTTTGTTCCTGGTCTGTAGATGGAAACCTTTAAGTGATGGGGGATGTCCTTCTGTATATATGTTTCTCTTATTGGTTAATGAATAAAACACTGACCAATAGGGGCAGGAAGATAGCTGTGGCTAGGAGATGAGGAGAAATAGGCAGAGAGGGACTGCAAAGAGCTGTTATGTAGCTGGCAAGGGAGTAACAAGTCTGGGCATTCTCCAGTAAGCCAAGACCACATGAAAATACATAGATTCATAGAAATGGGTTAATAATTATGACAGAGCTAGCCAGTAAGAAGCCCTAGTCATTGGCCAACAGTTTAATAGTTAATATAGCATCTGTGTGTTTATTTGGGGCCGAGAAGGGTGGCGGGACCTGGTGGGACAAAGAAACTCCAGTAACATTTAAGCATGCAGGGCTTATGGTTTGGGGGACAGGGGCTATAAAATTATCCAAGAGGGGGTGAAGGATTATTGAAGTGGGACTGCTTATGCTTCCACTCATTGTTTCCTGAGTGTCTGTGCTCTTCCCTTTAGGAATTACTGCAGTGTCTTGAGCTCTCTGGAGAAGAGCTCTTCCTACCTCTGAGGCTAATGGGTGGACACAACTGTAGCTGAAAGCTTCTATGCATTCCACTTAGTCTTGTAGTCACTTATAAGATAATCACTCTGAGCTTAACATTATTTATAATTGTTTGGCCAATGGCTCAGGCATATTACTAAATAACTCTCACATTTAAATTAACCCATTTTAATTAATCTGTGTATCAACACATGGCTGTGGCTTACTGGTAATCCTCTGGCATCTTACTTCTCCAGCGGATACCTGGCATCTCTCTGACTCTGCTTTCCTTCTCTCCATATCTCTGTTTGGATTTCCTGACTGGTTCTATTCTACCTGGCTACTGTCCAGATCAGCTTCTTTGTTAACCAATGGTAACAAAACACATTCACAGAGAGAGAGGCATCCCACATTACACAATGCTTACTGAACCAAATGCTTTGGCATGGCATGCCAGGATGCCAGCATGCCCCCTGGTCATTGTCTACCCTGGCTT